GGTTTATACTGCAACAATGTACAAAATTAGTACAATCGTATCTAATAACAATCATATCTATATGTACAGTTCTCTCAAATATGAAAAAATTGTACTATAAATTATAATAATTTCATATATTAATATGGTAAAATATCAAGATATAAATGATAAATGAAATTAATATTTTTATTTAGTAAATGCAATCACAATTATAGTGAATATAACTATTTTCTTGAAATCACTATTATTTACGTGATAATAATAAAACTAAAAAATATATTAAGAAAAGACTATAGATTTTCAAATAAAGTGTATGACTATTATTGTATTAATAGTGCAATTGATGTACATTGTTTGCGTCAAACAATTATTATATAAATACATAGTTATCCTAAAAAATGATTACAAATTTTAGTTAAATTATTATAATTGTAATTTTTCTCTCTCAATATACAAGATATTTTCATGCAAAATCAAGAATAATTAACAGATACATCCCAGTTCATTTTGCGAAATACCATAAATTTTAAATAATTATTCGTCGCAACTGGAATCCTTTCTGTTCATGCTTAAATAATTCCGTTAGTTCAGAATAGATAATGACACAAAATAAACCAGATTATTTCGTATAGTACGTCTATATGGCAATTTTCGTACAGAACTATTCAGACGGCAGATTGTTAAAACGAGTACTGTCTCAAGCGAGTTAACTTGAAAGGGGACTACGGAATTTCGGCTAATGCTGGGAAACTCGAATATACACCATTACGCGTCTGTTTGCCGCTAGATAACTAGGGATACACACGCATCGTGTGCGCAGTACATGGAATATATGGATACTACGTGCATTATACTACGTGCAATGTTCTATTGTTAGCGACTCCCGGATTATGTCATGTAATATTAAAGAGAATTGAGATAATAAGGTAGAAAATTCATTTCAAAAAATTATTCATTTATATGTCGTTTTAACAGTAGCCTAGTGTACTAAAAATATACATATGTAATATAAGTCATAAATTATCATTAATAAAATTGCCACTGTTGCAACATTACATGGGATATTATCACAAAATTAAATTTATTCTCGATTCCATATTATCTCATTAAATATAAATCCTTGGAACGTGAAATTAAATATTAAATATAATTCCTAATTAACGAACGAGAAACTTTTAAACTTTTCTGCAATTTATTCAAAGTTATAGCAATTTCAGGACGCGCATCTATTTCCTGCATAAATCACGACCGTGATTTATTCGAGGCAAAAATTTATACGGCAAATTTAAATTTGTACGGCAAATTGTCCGCAAGATCGGCCGTGTGTGCATGACTCGAGCATAACGTTCCGTAATTCCGCGCAATATAATATACGTGTTGTCGCATCGGGGGGGAACAACACGAATGCGCTGCCATCCGTTCGGAATGAAACTATAGAAGGAAGCAGAGGACGTGGTAGTTGATTATGATAGCGGTGTGGAAGAGGAGGAGAAAGAGGAGGAAATGCATGGCAGACTCTCGTGTCCCAGGTGATCCCGCGTGCATGAAGCTGCGGCCGAACGAACTGTGCGTATGCTTTTCGACTCGATGACTAACCAGGCCCGGTTAATTGACCAGACGTATTTACCGCGGCACAAAGCAGCCACGACCGGAACCAACGTGACATTGTTCATGAATTGTTCGTTCGCCATCAAACGAAGCGCGCGAGATCAATCTTACTCAGCGTTTAATCGAATGCAAATAACTTAAATTTACTTCTCTGGGAAGAGAACGACGGCGGAAGGTTTCGTTAAACCTTAACGAAGCAATATTACATTCGAGTTTATATTGCGTCGTAAAATGAACGTAACATCTCTGCGATGAAGTAAAGATTTTCTGATAATACAACCGACGTCGAATATTACTTCCTTTTTTCTCTTCATTTTTTTTCAGTGAACCGATTTACCGATTTTTCCCTCTCAATTTGGCGCGGACACAATACCCCGTTCGTGACAAAAAGAGAAAAGTGTAATTTTTTCAGGTGCGGTATTTTCAGCTTTGTGCTGATATATATGTAGATATAATGGAAATCATTTGACGAATTTTACTACGAGACGGGTTTAACGCTGGAGCAATTCCAGTCCAATTTACACAGTATATCCCAGATGTATCGCTATTGCAGGTAGCACGGATCATTGTGAATACGAAGCGAAGCATTAATGTCATACGAATAATTGTAGAGTAGATAGGTAACTCGAGACTGGAGATTATTTAACCGTTATAAATATCAAGCTTTAATCCACTCCCCGCGAATGATGATGTATTTCTCCGATACTCACGCAGAAACGTATCATGTTCTCGATTTCATGGGAAATGAACGAAAACCGCACGCCGTAAAATCGGAATTAAAATATACGCGAGTGAAATCAAGAAAACAGCGTAATCTGTACTAACGCGATGAATTAGAACGAATTTAAACATTACTTTTCCTGCATTCGTTGAGCGCGCGTTATCATGTCGATACAAAAGTGTTTTGCATTTTGAGCCGCGACCGAGCATGAAATCAATTATCGTTGTCGCCGGAGATCCGACCTTTCCCCGATATTTATTTAGCATTAAAGCGCGATCGTCGTTATCCTCGCAGTGCTGCGTTCTAACCGGTGGTCGTAAATCAGGTGAGGAAACCTGCCTGCGACGTCTCCGATAGTAATGAATTGGAGAGTCGGTCGACGGCGAGAACGCATTGTAACCTCGAGTTTCCACGCACCACCGATGCGGCGTATGAATTTCAAGGGAATTAATGGCACCGGATTATATCTCGTAATCACGTATCTATCACACGAACGACGTGCCCTCCCTGTGGACCTATTTCGAACAAAGGGGAATCGAGTCTCCGCCACGTTCGACTATTAAAATGCAATTACCGATGAACCGTTTAATTCTTATTACACAAGCATGGCCGGCCGGATCGATTGTCACGAAAAAGATTCTAAAAACAGATTACTAAAAGGTTTCTAAAAACAGGTGCATGAATATTAGCGACATTTTGAGAAAGATAATGTAGATATTTGTGGACATAACATTGATTATATAACATATTAATTACGAAATATATTGCGCGAATGAGAGAAGAGAGAGATATACGTAAAAAGATATGACCTGAAAAAGATTATTTAAGAACCAAAAATGTGAAAATCAATAAATGAAATTATTTATATTTTTCGTGGATTTTCAAGTAAATTTTTAATCATAACTGGTTTAAATTTGAAATATTAATTATTCTTCCTCAAATATGAAATAGATTTATAAAATTAATATTATATCATATGGAGACAATAGATTCACATAAAGAGTAAAAATGTAGAGGTCAGGATCAAGCATGATCGGCAAAAATGTTTCCTTCGAGAATTCGAAGAACAAGTGATGAATACAAATCTGCACGTTTTCAAAAGATTCCTTCGTTTTAGATATCAGTCGCGTGACGGTACGTTGTAAACACAGAATTGTAGAGTGATGCAAGAAAGTATAATTAATAATTTCTAGAAAAAAGTTACTCGACACGCTCCGACAACCATCCGGTGAGTAATGCAATAAACAGAATTGCAATTGCTCGTAAATTGTGGGTCAAGCAAAAGGCAGATCATTAGAAATCTTAGGCAAGATAAGACATTTCTGTATCTCCAATTATCAATCTTCGATTACATTCGCTCGAGAAATTAAATTTAAAGCGCACTATAGCTTTACAAGCTACATGATGAAATTATTATTTCAGGAATTAGTCTATTTGAAAATATATAATCCGGATTTAATAAACTTAATTCGATTATATAATAAATCTTATCAATTGGCGTTCCTGAATTTATAGAATTATATTAACGAAAGTTGATTTAAATTAAAGAAAAATTTCTATTTTAAAGATTCTTTAAATGTGATTAACGATTACGTACTTAGCTTTAAGTAATCTTTTTCTTAAATTTTGTATTATTATGATTATATACCTATATAAATAAATATTTTTTTTCTTACTATCCACATTACTATAAACGTACTATAACGTTGATGAACACCAATGTTATAATAATAATCATTTTTTTCACTTATTATGTTTTTTATCACGAATGAAACATTATTATATCGCAAACAAAACGCTTTGTCAAGAGAGGAAATTCTTTTATTCAATCTGTAAGTAACTCTTTCCATCTACCGTACTTTGCTATGAATTACAAGGGACCCTCCTTCATAGAATTCACTCGTCGCATCGGAGGCAACGACGTCTCTTCTTCATTCATACGTGTCCAGAATCATTGACCGCGACCACAACTACGTGACAGGATGACGGCCGCGCCTTGGGAAAGAGGACGAAGGTAAGAAGGGAGACGTGCGCGGTTCAAGAAGTTTGGTTCTCCGGTAACGGAATGTACACTAGAATCTTGAGAGTGCTCCACGTGGCTCACAAGGGGCTACTTCGTAGGAATGTAACGTACAATTTCGCATTGTCACGAACGTCAAGAACATTCGGAAGGATTAGTTACTTCAACGAGCTCCTGCGCTTGCGGTTTTGGTGCACCGTACTAACTTAAATAGCCAATAACGCATCGCCTTAACCTTTTTTTTGTTACAATATTTTTATTATATTTTATTATATTTGTTCACGAAAGAGAAAAGAGACATCGCGATCCTAAGAAAATTCTCCTATAGACAATGTTTGTAATATATAATATTCAGAATTGTAGGATAAAAAGGCTCCATATCAATATTAATTTTTTATACTTTACCATTTTTAAATGCTAAACAAATGTCTCGTTTAAGAACACATATAATTTTAGAAATTATTTAAATTTAAATTTTTAAAAATTAATCTAAATTAATTTAATTTATAGTACTTAATAACTAATTTCGATGTCTACGATTTTTTATGTAAAGAGAACTGCTCCTTTCCTAATCATTGTCATTACATAGTTTTTTGTAGTAAGAGTGATAATCGATGTGCTTATCGACCAATTTGACACAATCATGTTAATTAAGAGTCAGAAACTTACGATGGCCTGTTGATCGACCCCGTTCGGAGGCGGAGGCGGACTGAAACTGGCAGCGGTCGGCGCACCAGGGGCGGCGGGATGAGGTGCGCCTGCCGCAGGCGGCACCTGGGGCCCGCCGGTCGGGGGTGGTTGCTGGGGTGCACCGGCGTTCTCCTCCTTCACCGTCACTGGTGGTGGTGGCTTAACGTCACCGGCTGCACCGGCTGCCCCCACGACACCCGCGACCCCGTTTACCGGAGGAGGGAAGACACCCCCACCATAGGGCGCAGCCATCCCTGTCTGCACCATATGCTGAAAAAAAAATAATTTCCTGTGAGTTTCAATGCTCAATCAAAGCAACATAATATTAAGGGCAAGAATAAATTAAAGGATTATTTTAATATCGATAAATGCACTGAAAAAAAAAATGTTATATCAACTACATTATTTGAATTGAAAACAATTATATTAAATTAATAACACTATTAATGAAACAAATACGTGCTCTAGCTTTAATAACATTTTATTTGTTTCATTAATAGTTATGAATAAATAAAATTATTATCAATTAAAATAATGTTATTGATATAACATCTTTTTCAGTATATAAATGTGACTTTAATGACTTGAAAAGTTTAGGATTTCATACAAATTCGTTTTTACTTGTAAGATTACTAAGAATAATGATTTAATTAATTTATGACTATAACTTGATTACTTTTCTTATCACTATTTGTTAATACATACTCTATTATACGTATCAATATTAATATAAGTTACAAACATCAAATCAAGAACAGAAAATTGATAATTACTAATTAAAATTTTCTGATGTCTCTAAGAGTTAAATATTTACTAAATTATCTTGCCATATAATTATTTTACATTGATTTTATACGATCTAATAAATGGAGACATCTCTAGCTTAAAAAATGAATTATCTTTCAATTACTCTTGTAATTTTTAATAAAATCAAAATACTATTTATAATTTATAATAATTTAAATAGATAATAATAATATATCTTATTAATATTCTCTAACGTTCAAACACTATCTCGTCCATCATTCGCAATTTAAGGAAGAGAAATATTTTTCATACTATAAGTAGGTTTGATTCAGTTTTTCTGGTCTCTCCGAGATCGTTAGAGATGAAAGATAATGGCGAAAATGGCGTTGCCAATTTTTCGTGCGGTGGCGAACTATTCACCGTGACCGCAGGCAATCGTACTCATAGTAGAAAGATTTCTGGCAATGTTCCATTGGAATGTCGTGGCGGGCCACGATTGGTTGAATAATACCTCAACGCGAATCTAGTTCGGTAAAAACATTCTTATCCCAAAAATATAAAAGAACTAATCTTTCTCATCTAAAGTCAAAGCTTGATTCTCTTTTTTATATAAAATTGACAAATAAATCAACACATAAATATTTCAGACAAAAAATGTTCTTGTTAATTTTAGGTTTAAAAAGTTGGATTAACAATTTACTAAATAAAAACTATAAATACTTTTAACCTTTCATTACTACACGTAAAGTGTTCAGAAACATTCCCACCTTATAAACTCACTAAACACATAAATGCTATTTATATACATTATAATATTTTGTGAAAATTATTTTACAATTTAAAAACAATTTTTGCATTTATCTTTATTTAAAAGATACCTGTACAAAATATTATCAATCTTTATTTAATTGTAAATAGTTAAAGAAATTATTGAAAAATGAGATAAACTGAGGTGTCAAAAACGCTATAAGTAATCATATTTTAAAACATCACGCAAGTAATGTAAAATTAAATACTTAAATTGCAATATCAGATAATAAAATATTCAATATCAGATAATAAATACGTAATAATATGGATATAAATTAATCATTGTATAATTCGCGTTAATATATACTATATTAAATATATTATAAGAAATAAAGCTATGATAAAACATTTGTTCATAAAGATACAACTATAAAATATAAATTTTTATATACTTACAATTTTTACTTTAAGATTGTTTATTAAACTCTATGTCAGGTAAAAATGATCAATTTTAATTAAATGATTTATAAAAAACAGGTTATGAAACAATAAAAATTCTTTCAGTAGCTAAGCGCATGTGAAAAATTATCAACATTCAACCAGACTTTCTAGTTTCGCTACAAGGTCAGATAGTTTAAGTAGAGACAATTTTATAGAACGTGTAAAAGGCGGAGAAGGATCTGCGGGACGGCAAACGATTTACTATGGACAGCAGAGGGTAACTATAATTTATGGTACGCCCCCGGGCTGTGCCATCCACAATCTCGCGCGTGGCAGGTTACAGATGGTTTGTCCAGTTCTCCCTTCTCTCGAGATTATTTCTGAACGCTACCCCTCGACTTCGCTCCTCTACGAGAGAGCAAAGAGCCATTTGTTATTCCTACCTTGAACATTTTTCTGAAAACTCGATTTAGACCGGATTTCACCGATACGCACCGGCCGCGCGAGCGAACGGAGATGAAGTCGCGCGAGCAAGAGCCCTTTGTTAAGTCTGAGAAATGAAGAACGTGGTCTCAGTAATTATGGAATATCCGACATCAACAAAGTGCTGCAGCGATCCAGATGATTCCTCGCGTCTGATTACGATAGCAGAGTGTATGATAAATTAGCAGCTGTCGTTTATATGAAAATGTCAGAAGTAATGAATGTGTAAGAACAGAAGTGTGATTTATCATTTTATAATACGTGACGCCATATAAAAGCAATGAGAAATATATATCATATAAAAGCAATGAGAAATACATAATATATCATAAATGCATATGTGCAGAACATTGTGCCTCTCTTTTAATTGTAAAATTAATGTTTTAATATTTAAAATGCATAATTATAATCCATGTCGATATCGTCAATATTGAATCCATACACTTATATAATAAATCTAATTTCATTTAATTTCATTTATATTATATTTAATTTATATTATTTTTAAATTTTATATTTATTTTTATTATCTCAGAATGTGATTTCTTTGAAAATTGATTTCGTAAAGTTTGTCGCAATTTCATTTGCTAAAGCTGTAATACTGAATATCAAATTATCTTTTCAAATTTTGTAACACGAAGACAATTTTTTCCGAGATTAAATTACGGATACACAGAGATAAATAGAATTCTAACAAAACTGCAAAAAAAACTGTTAGACCAAGATTTCAAAAGTCTGATCACGATCGGTGATATTAACAAGAAAAATCTAATGAATACAATGAATAGAAACAAGAGAGATAATCTCTGCCAGAAAGTATACATTGTTCATACAGAAGACAATCAATGAAAAGATACGTGGAGCAGTTACCCCACATGTGAAGGAATCCCTTTAGAAAAGCCTCGAGGCGAATGAGAACTAAAACTAAGTTTAAGCGAAATTGAGGAAAGTCGCTTCTGGCTCTGCACATCACATTCCCCTTCTATCGGCTTTCTATTCCGCAAGCGTAACTTAATCAACAAAAGGGACAAGATAAGAAAAAGGAGAGCTATACGCTCAAGAACGTGATCCCGAACCGACCTAATTTTCCCTGGCACGGGAAATATGTCTTCCGATTGGTTGAGATAAAGTCACAACTCTTCGTCCTGATCACGAAGATAAAGAACATTAGGAAGGATTAAAAACGCTTTAATCTCCCTAGTCGATAAGTACGAAGAAATATTATAGATTTAACTTCCCGATCACTAACTGTTCCGTTAATTAATTTTTCTAATTTGTTTAGAATGAACACGTTCGCGAATAAGAGAAAATCTTGGCAAAAGTTTTAACTTTGCAATATAGTCGAGTGTAGATATTTCTTCGCATGTCGTAATAGCTGCCGGAAGTTGGAATGCGGCATGTTAAAATTAAACTCGAGTCACGTCAAATCGAATCAAATTTAAGTCACGTTCATAAGCGGAGCTAGAAGGAAGTTTCTGTCTGCCACGAATAAAATATTACGTTAAAATTATTCGTGTTAGCAGACAACGGAATGTTTGTGTGACACGGACAAATAATTTAAAAAAAAAAATTCTTTAAATATCGCAGAAATTTATCAACGTTGCAAAATATCGTGCGAATATTGTAGAAAAGAATAAGTATCTTTGATATCCCATTGTCGAACTTAAAATTCTCAATTCCATTTTAGTGGATGGTTTGTTCTCGCTCGGTCAATGACAGTCTAACAGTTCTTTGTCGTCTGTTCCTTCTTCTTTCCTTTTTTTTTTATGATCGTGAACAGAGCGAGACTTCCCGCGAGCGATAGTACATACAAGGGACCATTCAGAGCATGCTTCCCCTTCGGCATCAGCGGACCATGTCGTCACAGCTAGCTGGGCCTTACGGCGATCGCGTGCGCGAGCTTGAGGAACGTAATGAAAAAAAATTTTAATGACCTCCCCTCCCCCAACGTTAATTCAATCAGCTACATCGGGCGTAGAGAATGAATGACGAAATGTATGGCGCTTTAGTGCCGTTTCTACTTGGTATAATGCAATGCATTCGCCATTGCTTAATTAGATACTCGAGGCAAATGATTATTCGAACGGTTATGCGAATTGTCGATTCATCTTCTATTGAGTTCACACGATAATATGAGCATCGTTGAATCTAATATAATCCTCTAATTTTAAACTAAACTAAATTTGAATTGTATTATAATTAAAATGAAATATTTTTCCGAGAAATTTTTATTTTAATTTCAAACAATTTAATTATGCATTAATCATAGAAGAAATAATTTTGCTGAATGAATTTGTTAAGTATCTAAAAAATTAAATTATAGATACAAATCTGAAAATAATTTTGTTGAATCGTCAAACTAATTATGTTAGAAAATTCAAGATATTGGAAACAATATTTAGTAATCAATTTGAACGTCCTTACATACGTAATTATCTTGGTCCAAAATTATTTTCAGATCTATATCTCTCTAACTAAATTTGTAGATCTTTAACGAAATCATTCTTTTCGTAAATTTTAATTTTATGAATTGTAGTTTTTTCATTATAAAAAAAAATCATCAAAATAACGTAGAATTTGAAAGATTCAAAAAGTAATTAAAGAAAATAATTTAGTTTTTTAGCTATATATTGTATTTAATATTATTTATAAATTATAAAAGAAGAGATAGAGAGGAACGCAAAGAGATAAAATTTTAAATAAATAAAATCGTATTACTTCATACCGTTTGCCCTTCGATTTTCGTGAACTTTGTACACCACAGGATTGGCAAGGATGATCGTTACAACCTAAAGTACTCATACGGATCACTTGCATCTCGTGTTACGAAGAGCTAAGCTAGTACGAAA